GCTCCTGTTTTGTTTGTTCCCATAGTTTCTTGTTGGTGATTCTTTCCGGCTATCTGATCTTCAGTATAGAGTGAAGACAGTTGTTGATAAAGGTCTGCAATAGGCTGTTGGAAATATTCTTTGTGACCCGCCAAGTTTCTGATCCGTATAGAAGAACTGACTTGACGTTTGTATTGAAAATTCGAATCACTTTGTTGTTGATTTTGAGTGACGAAGATTTCCAGATTGGTTTCAGGTTTATGAATGTGTTTCTCGCCTTCCCGATTCTTGATTTGACATCCTCGTCCGTTCCTCCTGTAGTTGAGACAATGCTCCCTAGATAAGTGAATGAAGTAACCTCTTTCAAATCCCTCCCGTTGATGGTGATTGGCGCTGGATGTTTCTGCTGCTGTTGTTGTTGTTGTTTGTTGGTTATTTTCATAACCTCCGTCTTGTCTATGTTCACCTGGAGTCCTGTCTTTGGTGCTTCTTCGACCAGTTTGTCGGTTTTTGCTTGTAAGTCTTCGATTTTGTGTGACATCAAACATAAATCATCCGCAAAATCCAGGTCTTCTAGGTTCTTCACGTCGGTCCAGGATATCCCTGTCTTCTCGTTTCCCACTGTCTGACGCATAATCCAGTCCACCACAATTAGGAATATCATTGGTGATAATAAGCACCCTTGTCTGACTCCTGTGTTTACTCCAAACGCTTCGCTGAGTTTTCCGTTGTGGATCACTTGACATGTGCCGTTGTCGTACAGTTGTTGAATAAGGTTGATGAATATTTGCGGTACGCCGTAGTACTCGAGTAGTTTCCAAATTACTTCGCGGTCAACGCTGTCGAAGGCCTTCTCAAAGTCTATGAAGTTGAGGTAGAGATTTGATTGCCATTCCATGCTTTGTTCGATGATAATGCGTAGAGTTGCAATTTGGTCAGAACATGATTTGCCTTTCCTGAATCCAGCTTGTTCTGGTCGGAGTTCTGTATCCAGTGCGTCCTTGATTCTCTCCAGGATGATGCGACTCAGGATTTTACTTGGCGTCGACAGGAGCATGATTCCTCGCCAGTTCTTGCAGAGTCCTAGGTCGCCCTTCTTTGGTAGTTTCACCAGGTAACCTTTCCTCCAGTCAGTAGGCACCTTTCCCTCTTTCCAGATCTTTTGCAATAATGGAGTCAGCATATCTGCCGTCGTTTCTGGGTCCGCTTTCAGTGCTTCCGGGGGTATTCCATCTGGTCCAGCTGCTTTTCCAGCTTTCAGAAGCTTGATTGCATTCATGACTTCAGTTTTCGTTGGAGGATTGGTGTCAACTTGCAGTTGTGTACGTGCTGTTGTTGGTATTACTGGACGGGTTGTAGGTGGTGGTCGGTTCAAGAGTCCTTTGAAGTGGTCCGCCCATTGTTTAATCTGTCTTTCTTCTTTGGTAATTGGGTTCCCTTGGCTGTCTTTTATAGGTTTCACTTGTGTTGATCTCTTCCCGGATAGAGACTTGGTTATCTGATATAGTGTCCTCAGGTCCCTTTTGCCTGCTGCCTTCTCAGCTTCAGTAGCCAGACTGTCGTAAAATTGTCTTTTGTCCTTCCTGGCACTCTTCTTCACTTCTTTGTCCAGTGCTGTGTAAGTTGAGCTCAGCGTCTCTTTCTCTTGTCCATCTTTGCATTGAATCATTTTCTCTTTCACTTTTCTCCTCTCCTCTATTAGTTTCCAAGTGTCTGTTGAGAGCCATTCCTTGTCTTGTTTCTTCTTTCTTCCTAAAACCGTTGAGCACGTTTCGTTGAAAATTACCTTCAGAGAGTTCCAGTGGTCTTCCACGGATGATTCCTCAGTGGTGCCACGTAGTGTTTCCTGCTTTGCTCTGACAGCTGCAGTGAAAATGTCCTGTGTGATTGTGTCCTTCAGTTTTTGCGTGTTGAACTTGCATTGTGGCCTATCCCCAGGTATCCTCGAGGCTTTCAGCTTCACCTTGAAAGTCCCTTGTACTAGATAGTGGTCTGAACCCACATCTGCTCCTCTCCTCGATCTTGTGTCCAGTAGGCTCCGTCTCCATTTCCTTGAGATTGAAATGAAGTCTATCTGGTTTTTGGTGTGTCCATCTGGTGAAATCCATGTTGCCTTGTGTATATCCCTGTGTTTGAACACACTGCCACCAATCACCAAATCATTGAAGGCGCAGAAGTCTGAGAAGAGTTCACCATTTTCGTTCATTTCACCGAGGGCCTCACGACCCATGGTGAGTTCTCTTCCTGCATTGTCTCCTCCCAGTTTCGCATTCATGTCGCCCATCAGGATTTTGATATCGCTCTTTGGGACGTTGTCCATTACTGTTTGTAGTTGACTGTAGAAATCCTCCTTCTTCTCATGTTCTGAGGCTTTTGTAGGCGCGTAGCACTGAATGATTGTAACCTTTTTTTCCTTTTGAGTTGAGCCTGGCTGTCATTATCCTGGAGGAGATTGGTTCCCACTGCATGAGAGCTTTGGCTGTTGTTGGTGACATCATGATGGCTACTCCCTCGGTGTGCTCGTGATCGTCCTCTGGGTGACCGGAGTAGATTATTGTCTCTCCAGTTGATAGTTGGCTCCTTCCACATCCGTTCCATCTGCTCTCGCAGATTCCCAACACTTCTATTTTATATCTCCTCATTTCTGCGGCTACCTGAGCAGCCTTCCCAGCTTCGTACATTGTACGAACATTCCACGTCCCCATCCTTATTTTCGCTTTCATCGAAAGAAGGCACATCGGCTGACTGGCTTCCCGAAGGCTTTCACCAGCCCGCGTCATTTCACTTCCCCGATTCCAGCGAAAAATAAGGCTATTGTTTGTATTTTTAGAATTTTGAATATATTTGTGCGTTGAAGTTTTAGTAGCAATTTGATTAAGTTTTGGGGGTGGAGTTGCTAGCACCACACCCCAACCCTCCCTCTTTATCCGGGCTTGGGACCGGCTAGAATACTAGTGACCTAGTAATCTAGGCGAGGTTTTACCGTGCTATAGAAGTTTAAACTACTGTTTTTTTTTTTTCAAATTACTGCTACGGTTCTAAGTGATGTATAGCGTTTTGTATAACTTATGGTCACCATCTGTTAACTTTTCTCTCTTTCTATTTATTACCGCGTTGGCTTTTGTTTTTCCTCCTCCTCATCTATCTATATTAACGCTTAAATCGATATTTTCGGTCTATAGATATTCTATTATTGTTAAAACACGCATACGGAATTCATGTTAAACCGTTATTTTTGTTCTTTATTTTTCTTGTGTAAGGTCAGTCGGTAAAACACACAACATTAGACGTGTGTATGCATGTGTTAAGCACATTGTTTATTTTTGTGTAAGATGATGTGATAGATAGGTCAGATATGAAAAAACTTAGCATTTAAAATAATAAAATATACTATATTGAAAGACTTTTAGAGTGAATGGTAGTCGTATTTAGAATATATTTGAATGCATTTAACCGGTGCCTATGGTAAGAAGAAATTGTAATTATCAATCAATTCACTCAGATGCCTTAACAGACTCCATATGACGATTTTGTCAATATAAATATTGTGGGTGATAATCCTTTTTATAAGTAACAACTTGTTTTAATGTCTGGGAGCATGTTTCGGCATATATTTACTCCTACATATGTAAAATAACATTCTCTTGACAGTCAATTGTAATCTAATAGTTCGAAACCGATTTCACGTAGCAACGATCAAGTGACTAGATGATCTCATCAACATTCATGTAGTCGGTGTTCCTCATTGATAACCATCTATGACACTAGAAGATTTACTTCACAGAGCAGACATTTAGTTTGTTTAGTTTCAAGGAAGACAAAAACAGTTTTATCTTGTCTTGGGAATCGATCCCAAAAATTGTTTACTGTCAAGAAGAAAACTTGCTAGCCTCGTTAAAGTATCAAGGTTAGATGGTTTGAGTCAATCGCACTGAATTTTTGAGCCTAGGTTTTGTGACTGTTTAGTATTCGTCATCAAGGCGCCTCTGCAACCTTAAAGGAACTTATGTCCCTTCTAATATTCGAACCCGAGTGTCACCTAGTGTTAAAATCAAAGACGTTACCATTGGGCATAAGACCTAGGTTCAAGGCTTCGTGGCAACTGCCTCCAGCCATCTAACAACAATTCAGAGAGCCCCTTAGCATGTTGACTAACAGGATTCAGTCTGCACAAAACGAAGTACTGGATTTATGACACTGTTCAGTACCTAGTATCAGTTGATATAATCAAGGTTAAGGTCTAAACTCGATGACGTGCTTGTCAGTTAACTTTGAAATGTAGTTTAGCCGTAGAATTTGAACACTGTATTATCCGCTGAAAACTGAACTTTCTTATAACCTTTATAAACTGTCAGACACTACATATGAATTACTTTATTTGCATATATCTCTTCAAGTCGCACCCTTAACTTGGCACTGTTCTTTGTATTCTGAGATAGTAACATTCGAGCAATTAGTTAACCTTTGATATTTCTCTCGCGTGCACATTTTATCATTGAGAACAAAGTGTACAAAATTAGGCTGTGCATTGTTACAGAAAGGCCTACAATCGATTTGGTCAAATCATGTAGGGCTTGGAAAGGATACCTGTTCTCATTCAACCCATTCGAAACCTTTATGTAAAGACAACTTTTTGGTGCTGTTGAATATGACTTCTCTTCATCTGGAATTGGTTATTACATGGGATAATTGTCCTCATAACTTATAATATCTTATGGTACTGTAGTTTTCCGCAGATGTGGAAACAAGGATTTGACTAACCTCCATTGTGATTCACTTACCTAAAATGCGGGTATTTTTTATGCCTTATGCTTCTTGTACTATTTATTTACGTCTATATTTATTCTCATAGTGTCAACCAATCAGCGAAAAACTTGTTTCTCTCAGACGATGTACGGTTTAGTGTATCGGTTAACGTATGTATACTATACTTCAGTCAATTGACAGATCTCATAATTAGATCAACTATAAACTTGTTAATAACTGATCTCTCTTTTTCATTCTGTCTTTTTTTCCCACAGTATCTGTCAAAGATGTATTCGTAAAATGGATCATCACTGTCCTTGGGTGAATAACTGTGTTGGCGAAGGAAATCAAAAGTATTTTATTCTTTTTGCTGTGAGTCATGCGGATTTTATTTCATACATTGTCTCTGTTTACGCATGCATCTATCTCTTTAGTAGTTGAACTTTGGGTGTCACGGTTAATCCTAGGATCAACTACTGAAATCACTTAGCCAGTATATATACATATATATGTTTCTGTGAAATTTTATTGCTATGATCTTATTGAGTTTTTCTTCAAAAAAAATAATAATTGTAATGGTTTTGTTTCGGGATTTAATATGCATATGTTTATTTAACTGCTATTTTCATTCCTATTAGATTCGTCTTTCCAGAAGTTATGACATAACTAAATATTATTCAAAGACTGGGCAGACTGTGAGAGTTACATTCAAAGATTATGTTCAACTGTTCAGTTAAACAGTCATTCCTTCATAGATCTTTTTTTCATGGTAGCTTTTCTATCGTTCAATATACTGACGCGTAAAAGCGATCGGTATTCATAGCATTTCCTCTTAGCATATTTTACACCTAACTGTATCACGTGAACACCAAAGCCGTACGGATTCATCTTCGGTAGTTCAGAGAAAAAGCAATTCGAAAAATCAACAGACTCCTAAAAAAACTCTGCAATGCAAGAAACATTAGTCAGGTTAAGACCAAAGCAAAATTAAATAAGTACTTTGAACAACGTGACATAATTGACAGACTTGAATGGATATCAAGGAAAATTGAAAGAAGGCTAAGTCAAGATCAATTTCAGAAGGAATAGAGATGTAATAGTGTGGAAATTAAAAAAAATTAACGCGTCACATGTTTTGAACAAATTAAGTCCATTGTCAGTTTAATGAATAAACAGAGTTCTGTGTGCAGAGGTCACTGAATTAAAACTAGATCCGATCATTGAATGACCGTTTTATTTGTTTTAGTGTTGGCCTTATCATCCATGTGCCTGAACTGGTTTAGTGCATAGAGCTGATTTAGTTAGAACCACTTGAATTTCGGCTGGCTACTTTAGCGAATTGATAATGCGTTGAATAGAATTGGTTGCTTGCAAGTTATACAGTTTGAGGTCGAAATCTAATACAGTTTCCCTTGAAAACTATTGTGTTATAGTTTTATGTTTTTATATTACATCGCTTACTTTAGTTTTATTTTCCGAGATGAAATGAATTTCGCACTCACTAACAGTGAACAATAGGCAATTGTTGATACTAGTTATTTTACCGACCCCTCACTCAGCTCATTGATCAACTTTGAAGTAAAAAAAAAGATTTTAATTGTCAATGGAAGACTCGTTTTCAGTCTAGCCACTTTACTAAAAGTGTAAACAGCTGTTGGTTATTACTTAACACGTTGATGTGTGTCTACTACCGTTCACTAGACTTGCACAAAACACTGTGTCATCTATCATGAATTTGGTTTTACCTATCATATTATTGGTAAATTAGCATTCTTCATTGGACACTAGTCAGTAACTAGTTTGATGTGTGTGTCTAGTCCTGTCTTTGTTGCAATCAAGTTTGCAATGTGGCCGTCATGCTAGATTGCTCGCCGTCACGGTTCACTGTCAGCAAACTCAATTCCAGTCGTCTATTGAAACATAGAGTTTCATGCCTTTCCTAAGTTAGGTTTTCCTAGGCATGACTTCCGTTTTCATGATGATGATGATTGATAACCTAAATTAGTGTGCTCAGAAAAAGCGAAGCTCAAAGGTCAGTGAATTAGCAGAACATTTTAATCATTTATTAATTACTGCTGCTGTCATGGAATCGCATACCTTATGCAAATTTGTTTTTCTTTTTTTTTTATTTCAGTTTTATATCTGCCTCATGTCGTTTTCCGCTATAGCTATGTGTATTTATTTCATTTTTCAATGTCTGAGCTCGGATTGGGAAGGTAAGCAATGCTATGATGCAATGTCCTTGTACTGATTGGTAATTGCTGATTACATCTAAAGACAGTTTGTATGTCAACTACTTGATATCTGACAAGTGTTTTCCATTTCTGTGTTTAGCATTAAAATTATCATTCACTGCTGGTGTGGAAGATAATAGAAATTGTCTAAAGGGATGGGAGAGGTGCTTGACTTGTACGTGACAATAAATTTCGTAGCTTCTTCAGCAGAAAGTGTATTTATCGAACCAGCAATCGTTTTCAGTGAGAAGTTTAAAAATGTAGATGACCATATTAGACAATTTGACAAATTATATGCAAATGTAGCAATGTTAGCAAGGATTATGGCTACCTTGAAGTAACTATGATCTGGCTCATTTGTATATGTTTCCTAATACAAGTATGAATTGATTACCGATTAGAAAAAAGCAGTCATCAATTGGTTTGAAAAGGTTTCACTGTATTGCTTTTGGCAAACAGTCTTTCACCATCTTCTCTACTTGTTAATTTCACGCTTTTCTAATTTTATTGTTATTATTATAATACTATCGTAAATCCAGTAGATTGGTGAATAATTGTTTTAAATTTGCGCATTTACTTGATGATTATTCATGAGCGCGTAAGTGATTTTAAATCTGGTTAAAATACACAAAGCATACCAGAAAGGTGACTGATACACTGAAAGTAGGCTGATGCAGTAATCAGGAGTGATCAATTTAGTCGCTCAAACTCGAAGATCTGCAAGCGAAAACCAGCAATTTGGCAGAAGAAGCAGCAAAGATAGAACTTCACGTGAACATAGAGAAGACAGAGATAATGAAGATAACCAACCAAGAACGACTAGCATCAATCACCAACAACGGGAGAAATCTGAAAGAAGTCGTCTCCTCCAGTTATCTGAACCGGGAAGTAGTCAGATATGACTATATATCAAAACCAGCCAAAATGAAAATAACAAGACTAGTGATCATTACTCTGAAGTCAATGCAGAGAATTACAGTACTCACAATGAGGAGCAAGACCCGAATCTTTAGTAGTAATGTCAATCAGTCAGTCGTTTTATATGGTTTAGAGACTTGGCGTGCGTCATCTAAAGCATATCTAACAGGCTTTCCAGCAGACTTTCATCAACGGCTGCCGTCGCTGTCTCGATACTGAAGACGAGATGGCTGACAAGAAAAAGTAAGCAACAAAGAATTCAGAAACTGCTGCGAACCGGTCGATATACAATTACCGAAAAAAAACTATGCAAAAGTAAATGGAGTTGGATTGGACGTAAGCTGAGTGACAACTCGCCTCAAGCCCTCGAATGGAACCCGAAAGGGAAACGACGAGATGGGTGTATGAAGGCGACATGGATGAGAACGTGTGTGGAGGGAATAAAAGCTTATCTGCAACCTCTGAGCCAACTAAAAAAAGGCTGCTGACGCCCAATGCTCTACTCGGAATCCAAAGGAACACCAATAGTAGTAATAAAATAAATAGAGTGAACAGTGGACGAGAGAAAAAGATGACACAATCATCATTATATTCGTTATGTTTTCTCCTGATTATATCTGAACAAACCCTCTCCCATACCCTATTAATAAGTATAATTATGCACTGTTTTTGCTTTATTTTGTACCAGATCCTTTGATTTTTCTTATGATCATTTGATCAGTATGATAAGGAAGATGTTACAGGTGGAATTGTGTGATATTATCAGTTGTTCATTGTCAAATGGTGCTTCGTATACTTTACGTCTGTACTCGCTATTTTTATGTATCACTTTACTACCTTTTGTTTTATCACCACATTGGTCGACTTGTGGAATTTTTCGAATTTTTTCCAGTAACTGCAAATTCACACGAACTAGCATATTGATAACATCTATTGTAGTCGGTTCCATAAAGTATGTTCTCTGATAGCTTTATTTTGTTCATACATATCTCACAATTAAAGGTAAAGTATGAAATAGATTAACGGCTGATGCCATTCTAAATTTTTTAACTGTGTTGTGTGATAACAGTTTTGATGAAAGCATCAGCTATTGAACGTATTCCATGAAAACTACGTTTGATGCTAGTGTACTGAAAATTGAAACGAACCACTTTGTTAGGTTAACACTGCTTTCAGATGATATCTAGTCACTAAAGCAGACGTGCCAGTACAAACCGACAGTAACATTACTTTTAGAATTATAAAAAAATCTAATCTAGGCTTAAATTAATGAATGTAACCGTAAATAGGTTAAAAGAAGTTTATTATTTGTGAAGCGTTGACAATCGGTCGGTGTCTGTATTAAATGAAACTGTATGCAGCACTGTTCTCTATGATGTTTATATCTACTCCCTTATTATTCTGTCAGTCCTTTCACACAAATAATCAAAACAACTAGAGCAGAAAAAAGTGGTTAACTTTTTGTGTTATAGCAAATGTTGTATTCAGCATACTTGTATATACATATTGTAGAAAACAGTGACTCATTGGTCTAGACACTGAACTACCTGTAACATGTTCAAATACACCTTCACGTATCATGGTTTTTCACATCCAAAGAGTATCACTAGCCTTCTTACAAAAGGTGTGATTCCTGGCTAAATGTGACTAGTGACTGTTATTGTTGACTAGTTGTATGTAAAAAACAAGATTAACAAGAAAAGGAAAGATTAAATCCAAACGACTATTGATGCAATACTTATACATTTCATGTAAATAATATCTGCAGTGTATATTGTAAACAAGTGGTTCTTCATTTTCTCTTGCTTCTTCGATTGTCTTCAGTCTTCCAGTATTGAATTTCTTGTTTCTTCTGCAGTAATTACTACCAATCGATCCAAGAAACTTCTCACTACTTTTAATGTGTTGGGTGTAAATAGCATACAGTAATCCGTATAACTAAAGAGTTATTAGAACAAGACGGAGAACTACTGGTGGATTATTACCGATCAAATTAGTTGGAGTTTTTCTAATTTTATCTTTTTGTTCTCGACGTAGATTCACTTACTCTGATTTCTACATAAGATTATGTTATCTTAGCAAATAAGGCGTTTTAATCGAAGTGATTCTGCGTATATTTTAAGTCATCAACTTTTATGTCTTGCTAATCTGATGATGATCTGTGGTGCATTTCAAATCTTCATGCTTTTACAATGTACTTTTTTTAAAGCTCCTAGCTTTTTTGAATCTTGTTGTAAATAAAAGGGATTCAAGCTGGGTTTATTTACCCTTCAATTGTTCACATTTGGCTTTGTTGTAGTAAACACATATCATCATTATCGGTTTCATCTTACTGTAGTCGGCGTGATCGGCTTTCTATCAAAGGTATTCCCTGTATAACAGTTTAAAATATTCAAGTCGAGATCCCTATCTATCCTCCTTCATCTTTGATTATGTATGTCACCAGTTGTAGAAATATGCTTCAATAAAACGAAACTAGCAACTATATGAAATGGAAAGGTGTGAATTCCTACTGGAAATTTTTGTTGTTAATGAAATTAATAACAAGTATAAATTAAAATTGTAGGATTTTGTGAGGATTTGAATTAATTTCAATTCAGATTTCGTCATGAACCGACACCAGTTAGAGGTATTGAATAACTAGGAAGCATTACACAGCTCTTCCCTCCTAGTCTGAGACTATTCACCAGTGCTCACTCACAATCCATCATGTTTCGAAACCTGCAGCTTCAAATTATGGGGCGAAGTTTGTTTACTATCGGGTCACTTGTGCGAAAATTCAGTGGTCCGTGAATTGTAACTTTTGTCAGTTCGAAATACAGCGCTTCTCTTGACTAATACCGCCAGCAAGGTGACGGCTTGCTTAAATTGCTGGATTACCCAAATATGCTATCCATCGAAACGCGCACAATTTCAAATAAGTTTCTCCCCACTGCTTAAACGTTTTCGTAGGAAATGGAGAAAGAATAGTGTGGAGTAGTACTGGAGCAAACTTCGGATAGAACGATATCGCTTCAGTTGATGCATTATCTATTACTACATTATTTGAAGGTACTGAACATATAGTAAATATGTTGCAGTGAAAATTCTTTATTGTATACGAACACATTTTTTAAGATGAAGCGATTATTGCTATTATTGTTACTACACTGACGTGTTAGACCCTGCGGGTTACGACTTTCCAGTATAGCTTCAGGACAGTCATCCAGTAGTAATCAATGAACTGGAGATTGATATTTAGATTATGGGTTTTTCATATGGACTTGGATTTATGTCTGTATAAGTTTTATCATGAGCTTGGCCTGCTAACCTGAAGGTCAGTTGTTCGAACCCTGTCGGGAGTCGTGGGTGTGTAGTTTTGAAGAGTCCCAAACTTAGGAACAAACAATCACGAGTACTTCCTGGATTTCAACTATTTTCAACTATTGGATCAATTATCTTCGCCAATTGTGCACCAAGATACTCTAGCTTCATTTATTCTGCTCCTTTCAGTTGTTTCTTCGAACTTTACGCCATCCTATATACAATCTGTTAATTTTTCTTAGCATTGTGACAGTTCCTAACGACCTCTCACTCTTTATTGTCACATTTTCGATGTGTTTCATTTCTGAGAAGTGCATTTGAAACTCTGTTATGTTTATTTGCTTATCTGTATATAGCGTTGTGTACCTGCGAAATTCACTGTATTCATACCAGTTTGTTCTCAAACTCTCTCCCTTGGATTTTCCGGTCTGGGGATTACATCAAATTCTACAGTGGTGAACTAACCGCTTGACTGAATCCCATCGGACAGTTATTTTTTTTTACTGTCCAGCTGAATGGATCTTGAAGGATAAGGGGAGATTGTAATACTCAGTGATGCCTTTTCATTATCTGGAATTAAATACCTACTTGCAATTCGAACAAAGTAAAGGACAGGTTTGGTGATTTAAATATCCAACTGGAGAAACTAAATCAGACGCTAATCATGACGATCGTCTCTTTGAATTGTGCCTAAACAATAGTTTGTTCTTGTCTACTAGCACTAATTTATTATATTATAATAGCTAGTGTTTCATTTCACAACCAAGACAAGATGGAGAATGTTCAGATAGATGGAAAATCACCCTCCCCCCCCCTCTTCTGAAATGAATGTCTCGTTGATTTTGAATATACACTACTTTATGCATTTACACACCTACGACTAAATAGCTGTATAAACAAGCATCGATAAGATCGTAGTTGTCAAGTTTACCGACCGTCTGTACTGGGAAGGAATCAATCAAACAATAATTCGAGAATGACTGCAATACCCGTCCAGAGGAAGTTTATCAGTGCTGTAGAAACAGTATTAGGAACAACCACTAACCTATAGCCATAATAGGCTGATAAAAACAAGGGGAGTCATCCCACCGGGCGGTGAAAATTACACGGATCGGGATTTTCTCTAAAGTGAGCTGACCTAATCCTCTTAATGACTGCTATTAATAGTAAATAATGAAAGCAAAAGCAATAGGAAAGATATCACCATTAGGTGCTACGATATAACTTTCTACAGTTGTTTAAAAGCAGGTTTTAAGAAACGTACGGTAGATGGGATATCCGAGGTGGATGAACCTTTATTAACTTCTAAGGGCGAATGACATATTGAAAGCAAGGTGGGAAATTACTTGGTTTAGAATTCTGACTTATTGGGTACATGTGAAATCAGCTTACAATGGACACATGTTTAACACCCCAGGTTATAATGCAGATAAAACCAATATATGTATGAATGAAGTGTCCTACATAGATAGGAATAAATATATGTTATTATATTAAGTGTTGCATAGTCTTTTCTAATGTACAACTGCCTTCGTTTTCCACCATGTTGACTACATAGCACTCCACTCTTCAATAAAGCTTCACCAATGATTTGATCATTAAGAAAAGTCTTCATAACGGCTTACTATCAGCTAGAGGACAGGGAATTACTCAGTCTCAATGAACTAATGCATTTCTGGTATTAGTGTATGTTATGCTTTTAGGTAGTCTTAGTTCACTGAGAATAGAATTCTCCACATATTGGCTAGGAGCTACATATCTGAACGAATAAGTAGTAGGACTGTTTGTGGCTTTTTGTATGCGCTTAGTCAGTCACTCAACTTTGGTTGTGTTTTATAACTAACAGTGCAGAAGAAAAAACGATGAAAGTACTGTATGCTTTCCATCCAAGTAGTTAAACGTTATCGAAAGTTCTGTTCATCTGATCGGCATCAAATGCTCAATAGTACTGAGTATTGCGTATTCACTTATTACTGATTACTAGGTCACGCGCTTTGAAGCATTCGATGGGCAAACTGTTTTCGAGAAAAAACAGCTCATTTCAAATTTATGAAAGGGTAATTTACGTTTGAAGCAAATAATCAGTGGGAATAAATCTAAGAGGTTTTCTCCCTCTTGATCCTGCATTTTTCATCATAAAATGTTTCAGTTATTCTTCGTAAAGAATTAGTATATGCCATAAGTAGCACCTATTGTATTGATTTTTCACTGTTTCTGTTCTTCCTCCAATTTATGCATATTTTTCAGTTTGTCAACCCAGTCAAAGCTTTACCCAGCTAGGGAACTTCAGTCCATTAGCATGCAGTGCATTTGCTTTAGGATTAATATGTGAATCTCTCATGTTCGGCATTTTCACATTGGTTATGTGTATCAGTCAGTTGTGTGCTATTTCTAATGATGAGACGGTGAGTTGAAAATACATCACATTTTTATGTTTCCTCAAAAGCTGTTCTTATATATATATATATATATATATATACCTCGTGGCAATGTTAACCTCTAGCTGAGTGCTACCGATCTCAGTGAAGTACTTTGTAAAGGGCTTCCAATATGTTTATGGACTCCTTACAGATAACCGCTTCAACCTGTTTACTTAGGTGAATATGGCCTTAACATCACAAAATGCATTAACTTCCGACTTCTTATATGTGGTACAGATTGAACGAATTATCCATGCATGCACAATGTGGACAAAACTCAGTAAAGCTATTTCAATTGGGCTTTTCTGAGTAAAAGCTTCTACTTTTTGTAGCAGACTAAAAACCGCATTATTTTTTTACATAAATTATGTAAGCTATTTATAATGATCTTCTCTGTCAATCTAGTAGCACCCCTCTTGTTATGTCTTCTTTTTCTCCCTATCTTTACGAAATGTTGTGACATCTTTATAATGGCATAGAGATAAAACCTTGGCGCTGTGGTAGAGGATAATTCCATTCCGAGTGGAACATGGGGCTCCAAGCTTTAAGATAAAGGTGGGATTTAAGGCTAGTTCGGCCGGAGACTGAGCCCGAACCACCGGTGTAGCTAACGGGAATTGTACTCCTCAGCCACCGATACCTATGATTCCATAATAGAATGATTTTATAAGATTTAACGTGTTCAATCAGCATTATTTATTTACTGATTACTTTCCAAGCACAATTAATCTCATTGTTTTTGTTTGCCTTTCGTTTTGTGGTGATATGGAAAAAAATCAGTTTGAACTGATTTCCATTGTGCACGAGTCACTTGAATTTCACATAAATAACCGCATCCGCTTGTTGAAGGAATATTTACTATCGCTCGCATAATAAAATAATAATAACCGTGGATCATAGACCTGTACATGTATTATCATATTTCACAAAGATTTACAAGCTATGTTGTTGTAACAAAACACTACCAGAGTTCACTTTATATCGATTATTGTGAAATATTCCTTTGCACCGAGATTTATCAATGTGATGAGGTCTCCACTTTCTACTATCTGTTACAGTTAAATCACTTAGATTCCAGTGATGTTTCATGTAGGCTTGCTGCCCGCAGACTCTGTAGTATACACTCAACACCAGTTGACTTGTTATCCGAGCACTCGTCACAAAAACTAGAAGTTCGTATTTCATCTTAAAAAGTAAGGACTTTAGAGCTAGTAAAGTTTTTTTACTAACTTATATCAGGAAAATGAGTGAAAACTCTTACAATTTATGACGATTCACGAAAAATAATTCTATAACAGGAAATCTACAATCGGTATAATACTCATTTTTAGTTCAAAATATTCTAGTCTGATGCACATGATGAACACGAGGAACCCAATGCCTGTTTTATTTAGGGCTACTTATCAGCGCATATATAACATTGAAAGAAGAAATTTAATTAACTTTTTTGCAATTCATCAGTACATATTACCTTAATAACCACGTGTGTTTTGCTTTCCAAATCGTGTTTTTTAAAGGGTATCGAAAACTTTAAAAAAGAACAGACATCCTGGGAAAAACAATCAAGTAGACAAAATTTCAAGAAAGCATTCGGTTCCCGGTTCTCATGGAAATGGTTTAGCCCCTTTTCACCGCCTCCACCTCTAGCACCGGTAGTACCAGGGCTTCCAAACAATTTCGATTCAACAGTTATGTTACATTTCGCTGAGCAAAATGCAACTCGTTCTGGTTCAATTGGATTCCAAACAGATCTCAATCAGGTGCTTTATGTTGTTTGAAACACTTAACTATTGTTTACTGTAACAATGTTATTAATAAATAAAACGTAAAGAGTCAAAAGACACCAAGTTATTTTTTTCAATTCTTGAAGCTGCAATCTAGCGTCTTATGATATGCAGGGAGAGTGTGTCGATTGTGGAATGTACTCTGTTGTTCACTTAAGTCAGGAAGACTCAACGAAGGGTAATTGTATATGATATATATACACCCATGATATTCAGCGTAATAAAAACCACATTGAGCAAAACAGTATATATGTATATGCTGTGAGACCAAATTAAACAATGCATGATTATAGTACAGCTTGTTTATTACAACAGTTGTAGTGGTAGTAATAGTAATGATAATCATTGTCGTACTTTTTGCACACTTGGAATTTAACTAAATCAAGATTTTAAAAAAGGTAAAGAAAAAAATGCATACTATTGTTTTCCACCTATTAAAACAATGTAGAAACAAGATCAGTATCTATATACGCGTGTGTTCATTTAAAAACACAAATAAGAAATTAAAATATATACTTGTTCATTTAAAATTTAAAATTAGGAAGGTAAAAAGATTCAAATCTCTTCTGCTTGTTCATTTAAAAGTCAGATAAGAATGTGCTGAAGATAAAAACTCAAGGGCTGAAAAACACATGATGTGTGTATAAGCGTGTGCCAGTTAACATGTAATCGAATAGTCATTTATCTACCAAATGGCGAATAGTCAGAATCGTATATACACAACAAAATTGCATTCATCACGCAGTAAGCGATTATTCGAGAAAAACGTAAAAACAAACTATTTCCTTAGAAAAAAAGGATTAGTTGGGTGAAAGAAAATCTGAGATTATATTGTGTATGTATAGCAAGCTAGCAGGGAGCTAACAGCATGCATGATAAGACACAAAAAATAACTGGACTTTGAATTAAACGACCGTGTTTTTTTCCAACTGCACCAAACTAATGTATCTGGAGCACAGGTTATCGAGCCAGTGTAGTGATGAGTTCAGTGCACATCTCAAAAAATTCCATTGTTTGATGGCGTTTAGTTCTCTTGTTGACTGGAACTTCTTGGTAAGCTGTTGTAAATGATCGAGAGAGTTCAGGAGGATTAAGACCATCTGAAGCATAGGTCGGTAGTGGGCTAGCAGATCCTGTGCTACCTGACAAACTTCCATCTGCACTGTACGTTGATGTGCCCATAGCAGCTGGAGGAGCTAAGAAAATATTAACGTAAATATTTAAATATTAATTACGTTAACTGTTTATTATTTCAGAAAAATAGGCGACACTTTCCACTGAGCAAATAATTAAGAGTTTTGTTACTAAAGGCCTCATATAAATAGCTGGAGCTGGTAGTCTCACATTTACTAATAGAAAGACCAAACTAATGTCATGATTAAATGTACAGAATGTAGTGCTTGACTGTTAGTACAATAATAAACACATGGATAACAACTGTAGATGAAACCAATACTTTGCATTTAAGAGATAGGCATAACAACTGTTTTATGATGCTTAACATGATTCACATTTCACTGCTTAATGGATAAAACAGCAACAGAGAACTTTTGTGTTACTCACACAAACTGAACTCAGAAAACGTAGTTTTCCGATTTCTTCATCCTAATTCTATCTATTTTCATTCTTCCTCCTTGAGCTATAAAAAATATCAGTAGCCCGTTTAACCATCACCTCCAATAAGACTGAGATCATACGCTTTTAACGAAATTGAAATTGGAGGGAATCACTTGGCTAGTCTTGTTTCCGCTCATTTTGTATTTCGCTTGATAACAAGTGTTGATTAAAACTAAGTGACATTAGTTTGTATTCAGATTATAAGAATAAAACACGTGTTGCTTCATGCGTCAAAAGCGTATAACTACAAATACTGGTGTCCGTAATAGTGACATCCACTTAATACACTTTACTTGGCCAACTACGAAAACATACTGATTTCATTTGAATTATATTTTTCTATTAGTCTGGTGGTTCTCAGCTTTTCGTATGATGCACACAAACACGGTTCACTGGCCTTTATTCAATAATATCTGAAGATCAACCTACATACGAAATGGCTTTTGGGGCAAAATTAATTACTGAATACAATGAAAAAAGAGACCAATCATTAGTGAATAAGGAATACTCTTTTTTATAACTTCATCACGTCATACACTTATGCATCCACAATAATTTAGGAATTACTGGTATTAACACTATCAGTGTTTTAAATAACATCGAGTCAATCAAATCAATAGATAACAATGGAAAGACATCTAAGTGACATAAATTAAAGGCAACTAATACAGAATTTATAAGTTCCACAGGAGGCGAACGTGGTGGCCAGATCTGTTTCTTTTGGATGCAGAGCTCTGGTTGTTCCAGGCGAATCACAGTGGCTCCTACTGTTGGGAGTGTTCAGTATTTGGAGACTTCCGGAAATGTATTTGGTGCATGATAGCTGATAGAAAAAGATTCTTGGATGTTGGTCTTATGGCCTGTTTGGACCAAGAGATCTACTAATGAGATGTTGGTGGTTTTCACTACACGTTTGTGTTTCGTAGTATGAAAAACTAAGTTCTTATTGATCTTACTGATTCTGTTTTATTTAAGACATCAATGCTGTTAATAGCAATAATTATTTAATTAATATGGACATATAAATGTACAATCTAATGAGGAAGTAATCGAAAAGAATACTGTTTCCTCATTAAACTGTCTTTTATTATTTATAGTTGGCAACTTCAATCAATGAAAAAATATTTTCAAACATCGAAAATCTTACTTCCACCACATGAATCAAGGCACACAGACATATTATTTGAACGGATTCGGCCTATAACTGCTTCAGCTTCTAACTGGCTCTCATCGATACACTTGAAATCTAGTAGGTATGATCTGGCATCCACCTATCGAAATGAAAATTTCTGTAATTGAAGCACAATATGTTTGAAATTATTTAAAATACTGTAGTATGACAGATAATATCAACATATTTTGTTGATAGCATACTTACAAATAATTTAACACATCAGTAACTTTTTCAAATGTGATATTACAATGATACACTGGTAACTAGCAATAACAATGATTTTATTCGCATCATATTAGGCATATTTATAATAGTTTAAAAATTATCTTAGGTCTAACCAATGGGTATCACTGATATTATTTCTCAGTCACTCGTCAATCCAAATGTTGAAATTAGAAAACACACTACGGATAGCCTGATTTCGAAGGAGGCTGGTTAATCAGCATTACCATTAGCCGATGCTTAAGTGGATATATGGACTAATATTTTCAACTTTTGTTTTGCTGAACACCTAAAAATGGGCTTAGAAGTCTGCTAGACTTTGCTTAAACCAAGCATTTCTGAGATTGATTTCATACTGTCATTCAGTTACTTTTGTTACGCTACTGTAAAGAGCAGATGACTAGTCACATCTTAGCAATATCGGTTAATACCATAGTTATCCAGAATAAATGTACTTCACTACCTGATAGAGCTGTAATACAAGTCTTGAATAGTGCTGAAGTATTGGATTCCACTTTCTAACGCGTACATTGAAAGGATTTACAACTTTCCATTCATATCCAAGTGAATTCATAGCTTTAAATACTTCATGCATGATATCCCATGGTCTAGACTGAGATCGTATACCCAAATGCCACTTAAAACGTTTCATTCCAGCTGCTGCGGCAGCTCCTGCAGCAAGAGCAGACTGAGCTTGAGAAGAAACTTGACCTGTTGAACTCATTTCAGATGTTCCAGTTGAACTAGATGACTGCTGTAGGAAAAAAACAAGAAAATTACACCAAATATTCAAAAATAAGGCCCTTTACATTTGTCTTAAGCAAACAGTACAATAAACCAACAATGATGGTTGTGTGAACAAAACTTCAATCATGAGATCAGTCTAACCGATACTAGATTAAAGTTCATAACACATAATAATATTTTCTGAATATTAAAAACTAAGGTCAAGTCAATTGCCTAATCTGCGGTTTTGCATAAGATCTGGTGAGAGATACTTGCAGAAGATTCACAGGAAGCTTTTTCGTGTGGATTGGTACTCATTAACATTCACAATAAGGACTTATTCGTCCGATAAAACGAAGTATCTCTTTTAAAAGGCTTAAATATTAGCGAACAACTTTATCTTTAGGAGATTTAAGTGCAATGAAAATCAAGAAAATAAAATCCAGAAGTACGGTGTAAGGATTTTGACGGCTAACACTAACTGTTGTCTGCTCTACAGCAGACTGAACTGAAGGTGAAATGGCTTTGCTAATGGATAACCATTCCAAAAACTCAGTCCTAAAAGTTGTACATTCCGATTTACTCAATCACAATACGCAGCCAGAAACTTCAGGAATTCTAATACACTTCAACAGGTCAAAAGTGACTGGCCCTAAGTAAGTGTCCACGGGAAGCCAATCCTTTCTCCCTCTCTCTTTTGAGTACAAAGGGGAAGCATTGACCTTTACAGTTTGAAAAACCAGAAACAATCAACTACTTATCCACCTCTCTCTGTACGCCACTGCCATTTGATTATCAACCACCATCCTTATTACTTCCTAAAATTATCTCACTCCTCTTCGCGAAAAGGCTTTCACGATGTGCCATGCGCAATTCCACTTCATGAAGATGGTGTATGCAAGCTTCTGAGGAGAAATTAAATCTCTAATATGTAGCTTGGAATATTCGTAAGATCGGTCGATAGACTTCACTGGCTGAAATCTTGACACTTTCCCCAATATATGTATGCTTTCGTAAAACATAGAATTCAACTGACCCCATCTGATCATGGCAGCGAGACCACATATCTCTCACTTTTAATAGCAAGCACTTACATCTATGTAGATTTAAACGACCCTTAAGCAATGAGACAGTGTGCCGTTTTCAACTGTACGGTAGTTAACAGTCGTGTATGAACTATCAGAATGCAGACATACCAACTGTAGCTCAGTAAGTATAAAAACGAATTTCACCAAGGAAGCATCCGATTCCGCAT